GGACGGAGGGTGAGAGAGAGAGAGACAGACAGACAGACAGAAAGCGGGAGCACTCACTTGTCGATGGCCGGGACGTTGCGCTTGGCCACGATGGCCCTGAAGCGCAGGACGATGTGGATGCAGAGGAAGATGGCGATGCTGTCGTAGCAGTCGCTCACGTAGGCGTCCATGTGTTTCTGCCGAGGGGAGGGCGTTGCAGGGAGAGATACACACACACACACATATGACGGAGCAGCCCCATGGGTCGGTCGCCTGCTTGCATGTGTTTTGGGACCGCCTTCCTGCCTCCCACCAGAAATGTTCGCTCTTGTCAACACCAGGGGCACGAGGGTGGCACGCCTGATAATAACTGAGTGTCTATAGAGGAAGGCAGGATTCTCTGGAAAAGATCATTGTGGTAGGAAAGGTGGAAGGCAGCCAGGAGAAGAGGAAGACCAGATACAAGATGCACTGACTCCCTAAAGGGAAGCCACGTTTTAGAGATCAGCCGTTTGTGGGGTCACCGTCAGTCAGAGGGGACTTGAGGGCACACAACCCTAATCACCACAAACGTGAGATGCTGCTCCTCCTCCTCACCGCCCTCTCTAATTTTTTTTAGAGCATCAGTCTACTTGTTCTGCTCCCGTCCACCACACGAAGCTGCTCTTTAACCGGCAGAGCATTTTTTTCCCCTCATCCCACCTGCTCTGACCCTTCCCTGGCCTCTCAAGCCCAAACGTCAGAGCTTTCTCTCTATCCAGGCAGTCCGTCTGAAAATCCCCTTGATTGGGAGGAGCAGAAGAGGGGGCACGAAAAGGCCCACCACCCCCTACTCTACTATACACTTTATTCTAGCAACTCATTAACCACTGAAACCACTTGGATCTCTGTTTGATGCAGCCCAGTCTCTGGCTATATCCCCTCCATTTGGCAACACAAGCTGCTAAATTGGGCTTTTATCTCACTGCACTTCCGCCTACCACCTTAGTCATTCCATTCTGTTAGGCAATGCTGAAGCATGGTGGGAGGCTGATGAATACAAATGTTCTAGATGAAAATTAGCAGTTTAAAAGCTAATGGGGGTGGAGGAATGAGAGACTCTTAATGTTGCATTCCACCAACTACAGAGCTTGTGAGCTCAGACAGGATGGAAATAGCCAACGTCTTGAACATACCCAGTCTGGTCTGAAGCTGTGACTACACAGCAGGGAAAATAAGAATGAATCTACAGTATTCTGAAATCGTACCTGGGAAGTCAAGTTTTCCTGGGTGAATTCAATCCCCCTTGCAGCCGGAAACACCTCCAGGCAGCTGCTTCCTCTTCACCGGGGTGGTGATTTGTTCTTCCCCACCCTTCTTACTCCCCCTCCAGCCCGAATTCTCAGCCCTCTTTCAAATACCCTTCCCAGCAGCCGTAGAGAAAGCCCACCCCGAGATATAGGATTGCAGCCACTGTGTGCTCAACGGGCAACTCCCTCTGTTCCCAGCCCTGCCTTGAGACACCGAGTCCTGATCCCAAAGGACAAAGATCCAAGACCGGGACCAATTTCCCAGCAAAAAAATTCCAAACCCCTCTTTCTTTTCCAAGAGGCAAAGGTGGAGGGGAAAGGCGAGAAGGTCGCTCGTGAACGTCTCCCCAGGGGCCCCTGCAGATTCCCGGCGCTCCCCTCCTCTCCGGACTCACCAGGAACATGGCCAGGGTCTTGCCCATCACGGCGTTGAAGAGGTCCATGGCTGGGGTCCCCGTCACCAGGAAGAAGTCGCAAAGGAAAAGGTACTCCCGGCAGCTGTTGTCCAGCAAGGCGTAATGCTGGCTCCGGAAGAGGGACTCAAAGGGATACTGGAGGGGAGGGGGAGAGAGAGAGATGGTGGGGAGGGGGGGCTTTGACTCACAAGGAGACCCAGCCCCTTACATGACATCTCCCACAGCCCAAGAGATGAGTTTCCCTTTTGGCCCACCCATCTCCCCTTCCCCCATTCTGCAGCCGCTCCGTACTTTTAGACTCCTCCACATATTCCCCCATTTTATCTCCCCTTCTCTTGCCTCACCCAAACTCCTGGCTTAAATCCACCAGGCTGCCCTACAAAAACGGGACAATTCCAGGTGGAATCCGGGAAAGACGACGAAACCCAAGGCAGAAAAGACTAGGGAAGAGGAGGAAAGGGTCCACCGCTTACTCGGACGTCGCTCTTCTGGGCGGAGTGGGGGACGATAATGGGGCCCTCCAGCTCGGCGCTCCCGATCACGCTCCCTCGGTTGCCCAGCGTGAAGATGGTGTTGCGGTTCCGCAAGGATGGCTTGGAGAAGAAGCGTGCGGCGGCCCGGCCGAGTCAAGGGTCACAACGGCTGGGCGGCCGAACCCCTTCAGGCCCAGTGGGTCTACCCTGGAACCTTCCCCATCCTCACCCCCCCAGCTGTGGGGAGCAGAGCAGACATCATTTTCCCCCTCACCTCCCTCACCGTGACCCACTCAGTAGGCAAGCTTTGGGGAGAAGGGAGGGAGGGGGAAGCAGGCAGGCCTTCGCGCCCCCTCCCGTCCACAATTTCGAGCCAGCAGGTTAAAAAAGGATATCCTTCTTCGCCGTGTCTTCCACCCCCATGAGGTCATCCTTCTCAGCCACTTCCTCGTACTGCAGGGGGAAAAGAGAGAGAGAGAGAAAAGACACGCAGCCAAGCAAACCCGGGCAGAGAAATCAGCAAGACGGCAAGAGAAGAGCCACCTGCTCCCCCAGAGGGAAAAAGTCTGGGCCAAAGTGGGAACAGGCGCCTTTTCCTTGCCCCAGGGGTCTCTGTGCATGTGTGCATGCGTGTGTGGAGAGCCTCACCTGCACCTTCATGAGGCGGCTCGTATAGGACTTGAAGTAGCTGAGGTAGATCTTGCTCATAGTCTCCAGCCAAGCAAACCCAGGCAGAGAAATCCGCAAGACTGCAAGAGAAAAGCCGCCCGCTCCCCCAGAGGGAAAAAGGCTTGGCCAAAGTGGGAACAGGCGCCTTTTCCCTGCCCCAGGGGGTCTCTGTGCATGCGTACGTGCGTGTGTGGAGCGCCTCACCTGCACCTTCATGAGGCGGCTGGTGTAGGACTTGAAGTAGCTGAGGTAGATCTTGGGCCCAGTGCCCGGGCCACAGAGAGGCGGTCTCCAGTCCCTGACATGGCACTGGAGGACAGACACACGCCAGATCAAAGACGGCATCCCCGAAGAGGAGCGTCGGAGGTCACCCTCATGAAACTCTCCCTGACCAGAAGAAAGCGAGGCAGCGCTCCTCCTACACACTGTGCTCCTAGGTGCCACCACATGGCATGCCAGACAGGGAGCCCAAAGGCCTACCGGTATTTGAGCAGGGCGTTCTGGGGGATCTGGTAGTTGGTCATGGGTTTGCGGAAAGAGTAGATTTTCTGCAGGATGAACTCCCGGATCTTGGCCACCGCCTGGCAGAGAGAAAGAGGGCAAGCGACGGTCTATGAAGGCCCCGGGTGGACCACCCTCAAGGCCCAATCGTGACCCACCTCGACTGCCCTGGGGATTTGGGATGGGTGAGAAACCCTCAGTCCTTGGGACCCTCTCATGGAAGGGCAACAAAGCAGCCGAAGGTTCTGACCAGACTAGAAGCCGAGGACCCGAGGAACCTCACCTTGGCCTTCAGCTTGTCCAGGATGTCGGTCACGTCCGTGCAGGCCATGGTCTCCTGGAACTCTTGCTCCTTCACGGCATTGATCTTGTTGTTCAGCTCATGCAGCTGCTCCAGGAAGGCCTGGTCAATCACGGGCGTCTCCAGGATGGTGCTGGGGTCGGGAGGGGCAGAAGATGATTAACAGCGACACACAGACCCCCCTGGCCAAATAATTAGCTGTTCCCACCCACCCACGCACCGGCTGCCTGATCCCTCAAAACAAAACACAGCAAATTCAAGACAAATGGAGAATGTCCGTAAACGCTGGAAATTGATCTGAGGGTAGCCTCACCAAGGAGGACGGCTGGCTTACTTTTGACCACCTCGTGAAAAGGCCAGGTTCTCTGGAGAAGAAAAGGATCACAGAACAGTGAAGGTGGAAGAGGCCTTTAAGGCTAGCGACTCCAACCCTCTGCTCAATGCCAGAATCATGCTAGGAAAGGTGGAAGGCAGCAGGAGAAGAAGAAAACCAAAATGCAAGATGGATTGAATCTCTAACAAAAGCCTTGAGTACGCTAGAGATGAACAGGGCTCCTAAGGACAGGACGTTTCGGAGACGGCTCATTCATTGGGTGGTCGTAAGTCAGAGGCCACTTTATGGCCCATGACAACAACACAACCTCACCAGGGAAAACCATCCTGTGCCAGACCAGCCCCCTGCCCCTCACGCCTACTTCCCAGTGAAAGGCAGACCTGATCATGAGGTTGGGCACCACCAGCTCATCCACCAGCTGGGAGAGGCGCCCCCGGACGGCCTGGCGGTTACGCAGGCGGACGTTCATGGCCACCGACTGCTCCTGTAGAGTCTGGATCTCTGAACTGATGCTGCTCAGGTCGGACTGGAAGGAGCTCAGCATGGCCTCCATGCGCTGAGAACGGGAGGGACACCCTGGTGTTAGGAACAAGGGGAGCCCAGGAACCCAACCACCCAGCAGGAAGGAACAAATGAAAAGACCCCCACACATACATCAGCAGAGAAGCATTCACCTCCAGG